TCAGATTCAATCTGATTACTCTGTACTTACTTTTAATATTCAAATGAACAAGCAAGCTAGAAACAACAGCTAAAGCAGAGAATTCGTTTTTAAAAAATATCCAGCCCACCATCTTGCAAACTGCAAGCTAATATGATGCTCTATCCAAACCACTGAAAAAGAAAACTAAACAATTAGCACTTCTCAAACCTTCTTAGCTGGCAGGAGAGGTTCAGCTATATAATTTGTGCCTTCCATGAGGGAGATGTGAGTTCATTTCTAGGCCAATGTTCGTCAGTGCAGCCATCACCCATCTGTTGATGGAGGCCTGTGTAATGCTTTGATGAACAGGTTTCAGTGGAACTTCCAGACTAAGATAGACAAAAGGCATGGGAATCTATTTCCACAAATTAGCCATTGAAAGCCAATGCAACCCTCTTACCCCACTGTGCACGGGATCCCCTTGAGCATGGGGGTGTCATGTGTTGAAAGTCTACTCTATGGCAACTCACTCAGCGCCATCAAGTCGATTCTGACTCATAGCAACCCCCACTGGGTTTCCAAAACTATAAATTTTTATGGAAGCAGACTCGGTAATCTCTCTTCTGCGGAACAGCTGGTGATTTAAACCACTGATCATCTGGTTAGCAGCTAAATGCCTGAACCACTATACTATCAGGGCTCCTTTCTGTATGGCACCTAACAACAACAAAACCTGTTATTCTTAGCATTCTAACATGTTAGTAACAACAACAAAACCTGTTATTCTTAGCATTCTAACATGCTAGTGCTGCAGTGTGTGTTACTTTCTGTTTAAAAGCATAAAGGCATCTGCCCTGCAGCACTGAAAAGACAATTAAGTTAAAGGGGGTCTATTCAGGCCACAAGATTACCAATATTATGTGGTGGAAATATCTAAGTCACAAGAAAAGAATGTTAAAATATAGGCTATAAATACAGGAGAATATGGTTAAGAGTTAAAATTAGTATGTTAAGACTCTGAAATCATTTAATTTTAACTTACTAAAAATATGGGGAAGGAAGCAAAAGGTCATAAAAAGAAAAGAGAAAAAAAAAAAGACCAAAATAGATGTCAGAAGAGACTATGAAAGCTTCTCTTGAAAGAAAAGAAGCTAAAGCAAATGGAAGAAGTCACAAGAGCTGAATGAAGACTAAGAGTGGCTCAAGAAGACAAAGTAAAGTATTATAAGAAAATGTACAAAGACCTGGAGTTTGAAAACCAAAAGAGAAAAGTACGTAACATTTCTAAAGCTGAGAGAAATGAAGAAAAAATTTAAGTCTTGAGTTCCAATATTGAAGGATTCTATGGGCAAAATATTGAACACAGCATCAAAAGAAGATAGAAGGAATACACAGAGTCACTGTACCAAAAAGAATTGGTAGACATTCAACTATTTTAGGAGGTAGCATATGATTAAGAACCACGGGTACTGAAGAAAGAAGTCCAAGCTGCACTGAAGGCATTAGCAAAAAACAAGGCTCAAGGAAATGACAGACTACCCACTGAGATGTTCCAATAAACAGATGCAATGATGGAAGCGCTCACTTGTCTGTTCCAAGAATTTTGGAAGATAGGTACCTGGCCAACCAGCTGTAAGAGATCCATATTTGTGCCAATTCCAAAGAAAGGGGACCAAAGGAATGCAGAAACTATAGAACAATATTATGCTGATGATAATTTTAAATGGTTGTAGCATACATTGACAGGGAACTGACAGAAACACAAGCCAGAGTCAGAGAAGGATGTAGAACGAGGTGTCAGATAGATCATGGCCAAAAGCAGAGAATACCAGAAAGATGATTCCCTGTTTTACTTTGACTATGGAAAGGAATTCAATTATGGATAACACTCCAAAGAACAGAAATTCCAAAACACTTGAGTGTGCTCCTGCAGAATCTGTACATAGACCAAGAGGCAGTAATCCAAACAGATCAAGAGGATACACTGTGGTTTATAATCAGCAGAGGTTTACATCAGGGTTGTATACTTTCAGCATCCTTATTCAATCTATTTGCTTAACAAACAATCCAAAAAGTTGGGTTATTTGAAGAAGAATGTGCCATCAAGATTGGAGGAAGGCTCATTAACAACCTGCAATATGCAGATGATACAACCTTGCTTGCTTAAATTAAGAAGACTTGAAGTACTGAAGTACTTAATGATGAAGATCAAAGACTACAGCCCTCAGTATGGATTGGTACTCAACATAAAGCAAACAGAAACCTCACAACTAGACCAATAAGAAACAACATGATAAATGAAGAGAAGATTGGAATTGTCAGGCATTTCGTTATACTTGGATCTACAGTCAACACCCATGGAAGCAGCAGTCAAGAACTCCAACGTATTACACTGGGCATATCTGGTGCAAAAGGCTCTTTAAAGTGTTAAAAACCAAAGATGTCTTTTTGAGGACTAAGGTGAGCCTGACCCAACCCATGGTATTTTTAAAAGGCTCATACACATGTGAAAGCTGGAGAATATTGAATAAGGAAGACCAAAGAAGAGTTGATATATTTGAATTACGGTTACTCTTTTGGTGAAGAATACCGAATATACTATGGACTGCAAGAAGAATGAACAAACTGTCTTGAAAGAAGTACAATCAGAATGTCCCATAGAAGAGAAGATGCTAAAACACCACCTCACCTACTCTGAACATGTTGTCGGGTGGGACTAGTCCCTGGAAAAGGACACCCTTCTTGGTAGAGGGTAGAGCGAAGAAGAAGACCCTAGGCAAGGTGGATCGGCACAGTGGCAGTAGGGCCAAGCCATGTTTTGTTCTCTCGTAGACGGGGTTGCTAAGGGTTGGTACCGAATTGATGGCACCTAACAACAACAACAAACATGGTATGTTGATAAGTTCTAAGTTTTTATGAAGAAAATTTTCAAACATAGAAAGTCAATAGAATAGACAACTAATACTCACATATACTTCATCTAAAGTTGACAATTGTTAACATCTTCTAATTGTTTTATTTAATTATGAATGTGCTCAATTATGCACATATATTTGCAAATTTATAAATGTATATACACACACATACATTTATAGCTAACATATGAAGAAAAGCTGCAGACATTATGACACTTATTTAAATATTTTAGCCTCAATACCCTAAGAATGGGAGGTCTGGTGGCTTAGTGTCTAAGGCATTTGACTGCTAACCAGAAGGCTGACAGTTCAAACCTACCAGACACTCCTCAGAAGGAAGGTTGGGCAATCTACTTCTGTAGTGATACCGCCTCAGAAACCCAAGGAAGGGTTGGTATGAGTCAGACCCAACTCGATGGCAGTGTGTTTGGTTTTTGGTTATCCTAAGAATAAGAAGAATATCAACTCCTAATATAGCCATAATTCATTCTCACATCCAAGAAAACTATCAATAATGTCAGAATAATTTATAATGTCTAGTTGAAATTAATTGAAGTCTGTTGGTTTGGTTTTGGTTTTTAGTCCACATTCAAATTTTCCAAGGGATCTGTCCCTTATATTATTTTTTCAGACCATCAAAATCAATTTTATGCATTGATTTTACAGCTATTATGACATATTTAATCAAATACATGCAATAACAAATTTAGATCTTTTAAGCACATATGCTTGTTACTATGGAATATTTAAGAAGCCTTGTGGCACAGTGGTTAAAACGTTCAGCTGCCAACCAAAAGATCCACAGTTTAAATCAAATAGTCGCTTCACAGGAGAAAGATATGGCAGTCTACCTTTGTATAGCCTTGAAAACCCTATAGAGGAAGTTCTACTCCATCCTATAGGGCCACTACGAGTCAAAACTGATTCAGTGGCAATGGTTTTTTTGGTTTTATGGCATATTTAATGAAATGCATGAAAAATCAAATTAAGACCTCTTTTTCCCCTACAAAATGCATAGGCCTTTAAGATAAAGAAGACTATGGCTCAAGGAAGTAAGTAAGCCTAAGAGTGGTTACAACTAATGGAGAGATAAAGAGTAAATGCAGGGGTCTGTCTCCTGGCTGCTATTGTTTGAACACGCATTTCCGATGGGAGCTGGAGAGGTTCGTTCTCTGCCAAACAGATGGAGGCAGAGGCAGAGCAGAAAGTCTGTAATTGTTTTTCTTTTGAAGTTTCTAATCATATTGTCTCACAAAATACATAGTTCAAAATTTAAATCTCATATAAAATAAATCAATAGTTTATAAAGAACTTGAGACCCCAAAACTTTAACTATCTTAACTGGATTGTTTTTCTTTAAATTCTCAATCTTGTGTTCTGACAAAGAGAAAAAAAAAGAAAAGAAAAAAATACTTTCCTATTGAAATCTGAGACATGGTACGGCACTGAGCATGTCATTCTTAGTAAGCCTCAACTGACTAAAGATTGTATTTCAACAATCTGCACAACATAGTCAAGACTCTAAGGAGCTCTAACTCCAAACACCTCCTCAGCTTCATCTCCCCCAAGTCTCCTTCACACTATTCTCCAGTCAGAGAGATCTACTTGATTCTCCCAAACATGATCCACACTTTCCCATGTGGGCATTTGATTTCCACAGTCCTGTTCAGTATGTCCTGTACTCTCCAGAGTCTATATGTATAAACATTCCCACAGCAAACGAAATCTCATGCAGGAAGCCTTCCTGGTTCATCCCCAGCCCTCCCAACTAAGCAGCAACCTCTCCTTGCCTTGGCACTTGTCATCTCACTTTGTATACATTCCATGTTGTTTTCTAGGATAAAGGTAATTTCTTATTCACCTTTATAGTGCTTACAGTACTTCATATAGTTTATAAAAGATATTCCATAAGTAATTATTAGATATGTAAGTAAAAGAAATCTCAAGTATTATGAGTCAAGGAAAAGTGAAACTACGGAAAGAATAAAGCATGATTTACACTATTCAAATTATTTTCATGTTGATAATCCACAGCTATACTTGATAAGCACAATGTATGATTAGTTTACTAAAATGCATTTAACATGCTTAAAGAAATTATTAAAAATTCTAAAATGTACTTACCTTCTCATTATTATAATAAGAAATGCAATAGCCATCAAATTTTACCCATCTCTTCTGAAACATGCGTTTTCTGTAAAATATATGAGAGTGTTATTTTATATTCAAATACCACAAATGGACTTGATATGCATTTATAATGTAACTATGCTGACTACCTCCCCATTTTCTATTAAACATTAGAAAACAAGAAATTGAAATAATGTATCGTTTTGGCAGTGGTACATAGTTCAGGAAAAAAAAAGGCACAATGACACTTTATAAAATCAGTTGACCTAGGTATTAAAAATATGACACATGATACTGTTAACAGTGTTATCATCCACATTTCTAAGACTGAGTGCCAAAAACAAAGTGTGATCAGAAGCACTCACATGGCATCTATTTCCCTTAATGGAGAGCATCCTTTAATGAAGATAATATAAGCTTTCATCCCTTATTAAGTTTATACCATTTATCTTATTTTTTTACTTTGAAGCATGAATAACATATTGCTAAAATATCAAAGCTTTGTCAATTAGATATAAATAATTTATTTAATTTTGATTAAATCAGTTAAAAAAAAGTCCTGTCCAAATATAGAGAATCATTTACAATTATTCACAATTTGTAGAAATGAGTATTTTTTTAAAAGAGATCATAAAGGAAATGCAAAGGTTAAAATGATTACCAGCATGATAAACAGAGCAAAATACTATCATCATATGTTTTCTGTTTAGCTTTCAAAGGAGAAAAACAAACTATTTTGCTGACTGTTTAAGGAAAGGGTATAGACCATTTATACTTCAGCCTGTGTTTTTTTTTTGTTTTGTTTGGTTTTGAAATTTCCCTTCCCTGAACAGATAGCCCTACAGGTTTTGAATGGCCTGGTCTCTCCATGGCTTTCATTTTGGACTGCTATGATTTAGACAAGTCCTAACACAGATGGTATTTGAAAACTGTATTTAAAAAGCAATTTCTAAAGAAATAGGTAAACATGAACCATGTCTATCGTTTTTTCTCCTTTTGCAGTTTTCTAATATATTTAAGATAATGATTTAGTAAAACTTTCTGTGGCATTCAGAAGATTTAAAGTTAGAAAAGAAAGAGTGTGGAGAACTTGTCTTCCAAGTTTCCTAAATACCATACATGTATTAGGAGCTCTGGTAGCATAGTGCCTAAGGCATTTGACTGTTAACCAGAAGCCTGGCGGTTCAAACCCACTAGCCACTTCTCAGAAGAAAGATGGGGCATCAGTCACAAAAGGACAAATATTGTATTAGTCCGTTATTGTAAAAGTTAAGGAAAGGTTTATATATTGGAGGACATTTTCTTTGTTGGTTACCAGGGGTGGGAGGGGAGGGGAGGGAATGCTGTTAGATAGATAGAGATAAATATTGATTTGGGTGAAGAGAAGGGCAATGTACCAAATGTGAGTGACCAATATGGCAGCATTGAGGATGAGAAAGACATAGAGAGTTACATGGGCAGTACAGACAACAAATATGAACCCCTTTGCATATACAGTACTGAGTTGTCAGTGAAAGCAAACATGGGTATAGGGACGGATAGATGGGTGAACAAGCTAAACAATTAGGTATGTCTAAATGGAGAGTGTATCCAAGATCATATATAGGGTTGGCAGACAATGGGCCTATAAGTTCATGTGAATGATCAGAATTCCCAGGTGTATAGTAGAGCTGACAAGGGGCAAGGTTATTATGGTCATTACTTGGTCACAGCCAGCTACCCAGAGGGACCGAGTAGTTGATCCTGCGGGCTTGGGACCACAGTCGCAGGGGACATCAAGCTCAATTGGCATAACATACTATACAAAACATTGTTCCACCTACTACTTTGGCAAGTAGCGACTGGGACCTTAAAAGCTAGGAAGCTGCCATCTAGATGCAACAATGGGTCTCTCCTCATCAAGAAGAAAGAAGAAAAGCAAAATTAATGGAAACAATCAGTCCCAGCGACTGGTACACCATCCAATCTGCAACCTATACAACTATGAGACCAGAAGAACTAGATGGTGCCCAGCTACCACTGCCATCCACTTGGAAGGGATGTAGGAGATCCTACATAAAGAGGGAGAACAATGTGGTACAAAACTCAAAATTGTTTGGAGGCAAAAAAAAAAAAAAAAGAAGGGGGGGACCAGGTTTGCTGGTTCAATAGAGCCTGGTGTAACCACTGAGACTATGGCCCCTAGTTGCCCTTCAGGTCTGGAATTGAACCCACAACTGTGGTTTCCAGCCAAACAAAGTACAGGCATGTGAGTTAAACATTTACCTCAAGTAGACACACGCCCTGGAGAGAACAATCATGGGAGAAGGGCTGCTTATGCACAGGGAGATAGCTCAGGGTGCAGAAGAGTATGAAGGGATGGACACTGGGAGGAGGTAACTATGGGGAGGAAGTGGGAGGGGAGCTGCTGCATTGTAAATTTTGGTCAATGACATGAGACAAAGTATATGTGAACTGCTGTATGAAAAGTGAATTTACTCTGTAAATCTTCACCCAAATCCTAATAAAAAAAAAAAAAGAAGAAGAAAGATGGGGCAATCTACTTCTGTAGTGATACCGCCTCAGAAACCCAAGGAGGAGTCGCTATGAGTCGGGTCCAACTTAACGGCAGTGAGATACATGTATTATTCAAGGAAAATCGAGCAAGGCTCCCACATTAATTATCAGCAAATTTATTTTGTTTAAGATAAAATTGTAACAATACAGATCAAATGAAGAGAAGTTTCGAAGTTCATCAGTACAGTCATTATGTTCACATTTAATCATTGGATTAATTACAAACTAGTTAAGAGAACACTTAAGACACAGAAACTACCAACCACCAGCCTGCCTTCCATCTCATTCCCTCCTTCCACTTGTTTTCCTTCCTTTGGCCTATCTAGAATGTATTTTCTTAACAGTCTAACATCCAGCAGTGTCATAGACATCTGGTTTTCACTTCTAGCAACTCAAAGGTTATTCAAACTTCCAGCATTAAAAGTTTAATAAGAAACTATTAAGTAAACACACAATAATTACACTTTGAATGAATCAATCACTCGGCACTTATTTCATGGTTATCTCTGTCATAATTTACTGGTTGCTGTCCAGTCGATTCCCACACTCATGGCAATACCATGTGCTGCAGACTAGAACTGTGCTCCACAGGATTTGGGTAGTGCAGTGCCTAAGGCATTTGCCTGCTAACTGGAAGGTTGGTGGTTCAAACTCACCAGTCACTCCGTGGACAGAAGATGAGGCAATCTACTTCTGTAAAGATTTACTGCCTCAGAAACCCAAGAGGGTCACTATGAGTCAGAATCATCTCAGTGCCAATGAGTTTTTTGTTTGTTTTAATCTTTTGGAAGTAGATTGCCAGGCCTATCTTCCAAGTCATCTCTAGGTGGGTTCAAACCACCAGCCTCTCAGGTAGTAGTCAAGCACTTAACCTCTTGCACAACCTACTGACTCCTCTGTCATTTAGAGCTGTTGTTGTTGTTGTTATGTGCCTTCGAGTCAGATTTGACTCATAGCAACCCCTCCTTGGGCTTCCGAGGCAGTATCACTACGTAAGTAGATTGCCCCATTTTCCTTTCGAGGAGGCTGGTGGGTTTGAACCACCAGCCTTCTGGTTAGCAGTCAAGTGCCTTAGGCACTAAGCTACCAGAGCTCCTGTCATTTAGAGCTAAGTAAGTACAAATCTTTCCACATAGTCCCATTAGTTATTCCTCACATCAAGAATTTGTTTTGCACAGCGCCTCCCCCCTTACATCATTAATGTGATGAACCAGAGCTTGGGAGTACACATCACCTTTCGTTTTAAAATAAAATTACTTAACCTCAATTTCTTAGGGCCTTCCTTCACCTCCTCTATTTCCTTTGCTAACTCTTTTCCTTTCAGAGCTCTAAGGAGTCTCTGGTAGCATAGTGGCTAAGGCACTTGACTGCTAACCAGAAGGCTGGCGGTTCAAACCCACCAGCCACTCCTCGGAAGGAAGGTTGGGCAATCCTACTTCTGTAGTGATACTGCCTCGGAAACCCAAGGAGGGGTCGCTATGAGTGAGGGCTGACTCAACGGCACATAACAACAACAATAACAACATCTAAGCCACTTAGACAGAGGTCTTTGCTGTGTTACAAAGCTTATCCCAAAGTAATTCTCTCTCAAAGCATCTTTCATTTTTCCTCAATGCACAATGAACACACTCTCTAATTACACGTACTTGTTTACTTGCTTTATGTCTGTCACTCACACCAGACCTTAAGCTTAACAAGGACAAAGTCCAAGATTTCAATGTTTCATCCTCCACTGTATGATCAGCAACTGCACAAAGAAAAATATGGCCTTAAAAATTTTGAAGGAATGATAAAGCATAATTCTTTAACTATATACACAGGACAACACACAAAATCACTAATAACCAGAACTCAAGTAATCAGTACCTTGGGAAAAAAAAAAAAAGTTTGATAGAAGGCAAGACTACTTTAGAAAACTCAAACTTAAATTCAAAGTGTCAAAACATTTAGTGGGGGGGAAGTCTTGCATCTACTTTAACATATCTTACTTAAGAGTGTTCAATTGCAGCCACTTGGACTCATAAAGGTTTCTTAGAGTTTCTCCACTATCTGGATAGACAATTTGAGGTCTACATTAGTTTCCTAAGGTTATAAAAATGAATTATCACAAACTTGGTAACCTAAAACAACAGAAATGTATTCTCTTCCAGTTCTGGAGGCTTTAAGTATGAAATGAAGGTGTCAATAAAGACACATGCCCTCTGCAGGTCCTAGGGAAGACTCACTCCTTTCCTCTCTCCTAGTGCCTAAGGCACTTGACTGCTAACCAGAAGGCTGGCGGTTCAAACCCACCAGCCACTCCTCCGAAGGAAGGCTGGGAAATCTACTTCCATAGTGATACTGCCTGGGAAACCCAAGGAGGGATCGCTATGAGTCGAGTCCGATTCAAGAGCACATACCAGCAGCAGCAGCTACTGGTAGTCGCTAGCACTCCTTGGTGTCCCTTAGCTCATAGCGGCATCACTCCAGTCTCTGCCTCTGTCTTCACAAGGCTGCCTCCATTCCGTT